ATACCAAGGCCTTGACTTTAGAGTTACACTGAAGAATGGTCTGTGAGACGCATGTTTAATAAGAACCTTGTAAGCTGGTTTACTGCAGAGACATCACTATACCAGAAATGTTTGTATGTGTGGTGTTTTGTTTGCTTGATTTTTGTTTTTGAGACAAGGTCTCTATGTAACCCTGGCTGTCCTGGTTCTCAATATATAGACCAAGTTGGCCCAAATTCAAGAGAGGCACCTGCCTCTGCCTCTCATGTGTTAGGATTAACCATGCCCGACTAGCATAAGTTTTTTTTTTTGTTTTTTTATTAACTTCCCAATCAGAGTTTCCCTCTCCCAGTCCCTCATCCCTCCCCTCATCCACTCCACTACTGTTTCTCTTCAGATAACGGTTGGCATTCCATTGATTTCAGCCATACTTAGTATATCAAATTGATGTGAGACTCGGTATTTCCTCTTTTATTAAGGTTGGATGAGGCTATCTTGTAGAAGGAATGGGTCCCAAAAGTAGGCAAAAGAGTCAGAGACATCCCCTGCTCTCACTGTTAGGAGTCTCACCCAAAGACCAAGTTACACAACTTTAGCATATATGCAGAGGGTTCTTGGGTTGTTGGTTCAGTCTATGAGCCTAGCGTAGTTGGTTCTGTGGGTTTTCTTATGGCGTCCTTTATACCACTGAGTTGTTCAATCCTTCCTCCCCTCTTCTTCAGGATCCCCTGAACTCCACCTAATGTTTGCTGTAGGTCTCAGTATCTGTTTCCATTAGTTACTGGGTAAAGCCTATCTGATGATAGTTGGACTAGGCACCAACTATGTATATAGCAGGATATTATTAAGAACCATCTCATTGACCTTTTTAGATTTATTTAAACCAAGTGATGGTGGTGCTTGCCTTAATTCCCAGCACTCCAGAGGCAGAGAAAGGCAGACCTCTGAGTTCAATGCCAGCCATGTCTACAGAGTGAGTTCCAGGACTGTTAGAGAAACCCTGTCTCGGAAGAAAAAAATGTCTTTCATTTTAAAATTATGTATATATCACATATCTCTTTGTGCCACATGCATGCATGCAGGTGTCCTCAGGCCAGGTGAGGTCAGCAGATGCCTTGGAACTAGAGTTACAGGTGGCTGTGATCCACTTGATGTGGATGCTGGGAACCTAACTTGGTTCCTCTGGAAAAGTAGCAAGTGTTCCTGATTATCTAGTAATCTCTTCAACCCCCACAACGATGCTTTTTAAAAATAAGTTAAAGGAGATGCTGGTTATTGTGGCATGTGCTTGGAATCCCAGCACCTGGGAAATGGAAGTAGGAGGTCAGGAGTTTTAAGGGTATTTTCAGCTATAAAACTGGTTCTTGGCTGCCAGGCATGGTGGCACACGCCTTTAATCCCAGCACTTGGGAGGCAGAGGCAGTTGGATCTCTGTGAATTTGAGACCAGCCTGGTCTACAAGAGCTAGTTCTAGGACAGACTCAAACTACAGAGAAACCCTGTCTTGGAAAAAAAAAAAAAACAACAACAAAAATATCCTGGTTCTGGGCTATACATAAAGAGAATGTCTCAAATAAAATAATGAAAATTTGTTTTCACACAAATGAGAGACTTTGTGGCAGATAATATTCCTCGGATATACGTGGTTTTTTTTTTTTTTTTTTTTTTTGAGACAGTATTCTAAAGATTTATTTATTTCTTATGTATACAACATTCTGTCTCCATGTATGCCCACGTGCCAGAAGAGGGCACCAGACCTCATTACAGATGGTGGTGAGCCACCATGTGGTTGCTGGGAATCAAACTCAGGACCTCTGAAAGAACAGCCAGTGCCCTTAACCACTGAGCCATTTCTCCAGCCCTTGATACAGTATTCTAAACTGGCCTTGAACTCTGTTTTAACTGAGGGGCTGAGTCTGGTCTCGTAGTGATCCACCACTGTCGCTTCCTGAAGGAAGGTAGAAATTACAGGATAGGTCGGTCATTTTTAAAGCACCCAGTCTTTGGCCTTGGTGGATGGAATAATTGTCAGCCCTGGGTGGCATGTTACATGGAGGTGACGAGGTTCCTGTGCTGCTGTGCGGGCTGCTTAACGTTTGTTTGTTTGTCTCCACAGTCAACGACAACACAAACAGCAGAGTGGTCCTTTGGTCCTTCTTCGAAGCTCTTGTTCTAGTTGCCATGACATTGGGACAGATCTACTACCTGAAGAGATTTTTTGAAGTCCGGAGGGTTGTTTAAAAGACCTTTTCCTGTTGATCCCAAATTCACAATTCACTTGTTTACCAAACACCTTGGTCATAATAATGTCATTAGTTTATACATTTTTGTTTTTGAATGTTCATGACTTATGTTTCTTTGTGATTAATTGGTGTGGGGGTAACCTGTTTAGGAAAGTTAGAGTGGAAATTTGACATTTGATTGGCCTCTAATTCTTACTTGAATGCTGCCCCTTTATACAAGTCCTTCCAAGAGTTCAGGGGCTATTAATGCTGTTTGGGACTATGGTCTTTATTATGCTTCCTTACGCTTTGGTTTTTATAATAAAACGCAGTTTGTTCCGGAAGCACCCCACAGCCTGACTGCATTCTAGGGAGTTCCTCATCTGTAGTTCATTATCAGGTGTCCATTTTGTTGAGTCAGTACATCAACAATAAACTGAAATTGACCCTTCTGGCCCCAGCTCAGGGCAGAGCGACCTGTGGTGGGGTATATTACCATGTGGGCACTCATACTTTCTTTTGAGTTTGCTTAAACTAAAGACTCATCCCAGCACTTTGCCCCAAACGTTTTATATTGAACCTTGGAATTCAATCACCTCTATTCGAATTGACACAAGCAGCCGAGAACTTAGAAGTCTGTTGGAGCCAGTTTTTTGGGTGTTGGAACAGACTGCTCTCCCTCTGTACCACATCTCTGTTCATGTTGGCACTTAGGAGGAGCGAGTTTGCTCAAGTGGAAGCCTGCATTTCTCATGCCAAAGGGTTAGGCCTCTTGGATTGCTTGCAGTGATAGGCAGCCACTGTTGTCCTTTTAGTCAGTGGCCTTGGGGCCCTGGTTCAGTGTCAGCACTAGGGTTTTGTTTGTTCTCTGGTGTCTTTCTTTTTTGGCACATGTCAGTTTTGTTTATAGAAAATTAAGAGGCTTTCTCTCTGATGATGGGTTTCATGAACGTCGCTCTGCTTTGGGTGTGGGCGATCCAGGATTATGATCTGACTGATGTCTGGTAGCTACCTGCAGATTTTATTTTCCATTTTGGATCTTGCAAGGGGAAAACTACAAGTAATAAGTTTTGTAAAATTTATTTAAATTTGTTATAAGTTTTCATGTTCAGGACAAATAATTTTTCAACCCTGATGACTATCCTTGCAACAGTCTGTTGATAAGGTGACTCTTTCACCGTAGGGCAGCTGTTGCATGCCAATTTTTTTTTGTGCGTGTGTGTGTGAAAACACTTCAGAATTGAATTAAAAGATGTAAATTTAAAATTGGTTGTGTATCTAATATGCCCCAGGTTCAGTAAATAAACAATTCTTTTTAAAAACCGTCAATATCTGGTTTATATTAATGCTGGCTAACTTAAGTTTTTTGATAAATACAAATTTTCTTTTTCTTCAAATGAGATATGCCTATGTTTGTAAACAACTATGTTATGTCATTTTTATTTCTGTAGTGAACAAGAATACCAATTTAAGCCAGGTAATCGTTTTAATCCCAGCACTCTGGAGGATGAGGCATGTGGATCTTTTTGAGATTTGAGGTCACCATGGTCTTGAGATTTGAGGTCACCATGGTCTATCTATGTAGTTCAAGACAGCCCAGGGTACATAGAGAGAGCCTGTCTCAAAAGACAAAACAACCCCACCAAAACATAAAAATAACCATTTTATCTTGTGTGGTTTCTTTGGGTCAATGTTAACTTTTCTGGGTGGAGAAAGTCACATTTTAATTAATTTTACCTTACCACGTAGTTTATGGATGTAGGGAGATAGAGTGGAAGGAGGTAAAGTGAGTTGCCCAAGTCTGTGGAAAAGGGAAGGTGGAGCCAGCTCTCCTGCAGAGATCCTTCCCAGCATGGAGCTGCTAAGAAAGCAGGGAATGGCCAGTCACCAAATACTGCATCCCTTAAAGCCTGGCGTCCCTCCAAACTACATGGTTTGTCCTATAGATGTCTCATAGCCATTACCTTTCGTAGAATTAGTAAATAAACAGACTCGGAAGAGATTTTAAGCTCAGCAAAGTAGTAACTAGAGCGCAAAAAGCAAATAGCCTCGTGATTGCCTGATGCCCTTAACAGACTGCCTGTCCTCAGATTGCCCTCTATGGTAGTTGCAGAAGCTTTTTGAGGATGCGATGAGGTCTTTTTGTTCATTTGTGCCTCAAGTGCGGTATCTATAGGCAACATTTAGTTACGCCCCTACTGTTGGTTTGCTTTGGTGGCTGTGAATCTACTAAATGCACACGCTAAAAGTCCGTGTAGGGGGAAAGTAAACAGGCGTTCTGCTGATCAGATTGAAGGGCGTCGGGAAGACAGCAGCGAAAGCTGACCCCAGGTCCGAAGGTGAGCTAAGTTTAAAGGCTCAGCTGGGAGACTGTCTGGCGCCCTCGCTTGGCCGCGAATTCCTGAGAGTCATGATGCTAGTATGCTCACCGACGGGCCGGGGGAACCCCAGCATCCTTTAGTGGGACAAGTCGGGGCTCCTCCCTGTCACTTCCATCGCCCTACCGCCTCGCCTTCCCGTTCGCTGTGCTCCTCTTCCTAGCTTCTCGGGCACGTCCTCCGGAACGTCGTCGCTGGAGTGCGGTTTTCCGCCCGGCGTTTGACCAGCCGGAAGCGGAAGTGCTTCTGGTGGTACCGTCTCGGTGTTCCGAGCAGTCTTACAGAGGAGGCCAGGGAAAGCGCCATGGAACACGTGACGGAGGGTGCCTGGGAGTCGCTGCAGGTGCCGCTGCATCCTCGGGTGCTGGGCGCACTGCGCGAGTTGGGCTTCCCGCACATGACGCCGGTGCAGGTATCGGGTCCACTGGGAAGCGAGGCCGAGCGGTCAGCCGCTCGAATGCAGCCTCGGGGATCGGGGCAGTGCCACGCGTGTTCACGATACCCACTCCGGGGTCTCAGAGCTTCGTGCCTGTCCTGCCTGCTCTAGCGACTTCGGAGAGTGGCTCCTTCTATGCCCTTTCCGTCTGAGAAATGATGACAGTCACTTTCTTCATAGCATTGTGGGGACTAAATAATCCAGGTGGGCGCCCGGTGACTGTGACCTGTGGTTATTATTGGGGAAACAGAGTCTCCCTTGCTCGATTTATCAAAACAAGCAATCAAGCAAACAACCAAAAGCTCGCCAACCATTTATGAAGGACCTCATTTAGGCTCTGGAGACTTGACAGTCTTGGTACCTACTCGTGGGCCTTATTTTTAGAGGGGGTGTTAGAGGAAGAAGCATAGGAAGAGGTAATTTATTTTGTGCTGAGCGTTATGAAGAAAGGAACTGAGATAGACTCGTGCGGTGAAGTGAGGCTGCAGGCCTCTGAGGGAGTTGTCATTCTGAGACCTGGATAATCAGGGAGGGGAGGGGGTGGCTTCGGGGGAGTGGGGGGAGGGGGGAGAGAGAGAGAGAGAGAGAGAGAGAGAGAGAGAGAGAGAGAGAGAGAGAGAGAGAGACAGAGAGAGAGAGAGAGAGAGAGAGAGAGACAGAGAGACAGAGAGAGAAAACCAGTGCAAATGCCCTGGGGCTGGTGGCAAATCCTATGCTTCCAGGGTTCTCAGTGGTTGACAGCACTTGCTGCTCTTGCAGAGGACCAGGGTTGAGTACCCATCACCCACAGTGGATAGGCTGACCACTGAATATAACTACAGTTCCAGGAGATTCAACACTCTTTTCTTGCCTTTTTGCGTACCTCTATGATTGTAGTCTACATACAGATAAGTAAAAATAAATTTAAAATGTCCAATGCTTCCAGCTCTTTCCTAGTCCAAGAAGGAACAATGCGAGTGTTAGGACTTGAATCCAGGACTCTTGCCACACTTGTCCTTATAGATAACTCACAGTGTTTCTCTTGGTTGCTTGGCTGGTTTTGAGACAGTTCTGCCTGCCCCTCTCTCCTGATTACTGGGATTAGAGGCGTGTGCCACTACACCTGGCTACAACTTGTCCCGTTTAATTCAACCCTTTGTGGTGACTGTTTACTCCGGATCCCCATGGGGCGGGGTTCAGTTTGACCTCAGTCACCCCCGTGTCCCTAGGACTTGGGTCTCTGTTGTTTGGCTGTGGTGTTGTGTAAACAGCTGTTGTCATCTCTCCCTGCAGTCGGCCACCATCCCTCTGTTCATGAAAAACAAAGATGTTGCTGCGGAGGCTGTGAGTATCTCTTCAACAGTCTGTCCCTGGTCCTCCTAGCCACGCGGGAAGCAAGGCAAAACCTTTGTCCCTTTGCAGGTGACAGGTAGTGGGAAAACCCTGGCCTTTGTCATCCCCATTGTGGAGATTCTTCTGAGAAGGGAGGAGAAGTTAAAGAAGAGCCAGGTGAGGAGGGTTGACTGACTGTTCTGGAGGCAGGACGGTTTAGGCCTGAGCTGAATCCTGCTTGGTATCTGAGGAGTCTATTTTGAATTTACCTGCTTGTTAAACCGAAGTCGATGCTGGGTTGCTCTCATGACACTTGGGTACTTTCTCGGTCACCTGTGGGTATGGGTAGAAATGCCATTTTCGCTCTCATACTGTAAGCAGGTATCCTTATGAGCAATCTGTTAGTTGTGTTTGTCTGTTTTAATCCTCTCTTAGCTGAAGACCCAACCTAGGACCTTGTATTTACTAGGCAAGTGCTCTACTATTGAGCTGTATCCATAGCTCCTCATTTTTGTGGCTTTTGTTGTGATTTTGTTGTTTAAAATACCCTCAGTGGGGGCTCAATGGACAAGAGTACTGGTTGCTTTTGCAGAAGACCTGGGTTTGTTTCTCAGGATCTCCCAAGGGTTTTCAATCTCTGTACCTCTAGTTACAATGGATCTGGCGCCCTCTTCTGCCTGGGATGCACAGGATGTGTGTCCATGCTTGCAGGCAGAAACTCATGTGCATAAATACAATCTTAAAAAAAAAAAGCGTTCAATATTGGCTGGACTTAGTATTGGATGCCTTTAATCCCAGCCATGGGAGGCAGAAGCAGGTGACTCTCTGTGAATATGAAGTTTATCTAAGAAATGTGAGGAATAAACAGTCAGAGGAAAATGGAAACAGCTGAGCTAGGGCTACACAGAGAGTATTAATTACCTTCCTGTTGCTGTGATAAATACCATGGACAAGGCGACTTAGAAAAGGGTTTGTCGGGTGGCGGTGCACACCTTTAATCCCAGCACTGAGGCAAAGTCAGGCGGATCTCTGTGAGTTCGAGGTCAGCCTGGTCTATAGGCACCAAAGCTACAGAGAAACCCTGTCTTTGGAGAGTGCCCAGTGCCATCCCTGAGCCCTATGTTGGTTATATTTTTGTTTTGTGGTGCTGGGCTTTGTTTATGGTAGGCAAGTGCCTACCACTGAGCCGCCCTTCACAGCTCTTGATGTGGTGATGTGTGATATGCCCTGGGACTGCTGAAAAATCCTAGGAATTGTCTGAGGATACACGGTGCAGCACTAATGCGATCCCACCCGGAACCTATGTACTGCTGACCCTGTGATTCCCCTCCGTGCGGGCAGGTCGGAGCCATCATCATTACTCCCACTCGGGAGCTGGCCATTCAGATTGACGAGGTCCTTTCGCACTTCACAAAGCACTTCCCACAGTTCAGGTGATTGGGTGCAGGGTCCTCGAGATGGCACTTGAGGAGATGGGTGTGGAGAATCCCTATTGGCCTGGGTTGTTATTTTGCCTGACTTTGCTCCAAGTCCCATTTCTTGCTTCAGTCAGATCTTGTGGATCGGAGGCCGGAACCCTGGAGAAGATGTGGAGAGGTTCAAGCAGCATGGGTGAGCCTGCAAGTTCCTGCTCCTGCCTCTGTGCTCTTGGCTCCTAGGAAGTACCTTGGGGTCCTCCAGAGGGTGTTTCCTCCCTGCCCACCTCCTGGTTCCCTTGTGAACACTTCATAGTCTCCGGTTGTCCTGGGAGTCGGGGCAGGTTATGTAAACAACCTGGGTGTGAAGGCCTGGTGCCCCTAGTATTCACCTGTTGCTGAGCATTGCCTGGCAAGGCTTGTTCCTTGCTGCCAGCTTGTGAAGACTGTAGAGGGTGGAATTCCAAACGTGTGTGTCTCAGATTTTTTTTTAGCAGTTGCTTATAGTCTACATTGTGTGAAAACATAAGCAGCTGGTTTGCATGGTCACCTCTCAGCCTCTTGGTCTAACTCTCTCCCCTCCCCTTCCTTCCCTTTCTTTTTTATTCTCCCCTCCCCTTCCTTCCCCTTCTTTTTTCTTCCTTCCCCTCTCCCTTTCTCTCTTTTCTCCCCTCTTCCCTCTGTCTCTCCCTCGCTCTCTTTCCCAGTTTGTTTTTGCTGGGATTGAACTGCGGGGTCTCATGCATACCAGACAAATATTTTGCCATGAGTCACCCTTACCCCATCTGTCTCCCTCCTATAGTTGTGTTTTCTGTTGCTTCAGGTCAGAGGTCGGCCTGAGTTGTGTGGGCCATGTGGTGTCGTGTTGCAGTTTCTCTGCTGCAATAGAGATGGCAGAGATAGTCTACAGTAGGGGTAGAGTGTGGCTGTGTGCCAGCAACATGCTTGCTAACATAGGTAGCCAGTGTGGCCAGTGGGCTGGACCTTGCCCATCCTGCCCGAATCCTTGCCTATAACCAGATCCTCCTCTCTCCCAGCCCTTATGTCTACCGTGCAGCCATCATTCTCCCTGGCATGGAGATGGCCTTGCAGGGTGGGGACTTGGTATCTCGGTAACTGTTCCTGAGATCCAGAGCACACGCTAAATGGGAGCTTTCTTTCCAAAGTGGGAACATCATTGTGGCAACCCCAGGCCGCCTGGAGGACATGTTCCGGAGGAAGGCTGAGGGTCTGGACCTGGCCAGCTGTGTGAGAAGCTTGGATGTCCTGGTGCTGGATGAGGCAGACAGACTTCTTGACATGGGCTTTGAAGCAAGGTACTAGAATGGGGGCTTCCTGGAGGGGGTGAAGCTGGTAGGAGGTGCAGTGGGACTTTTGTCAAACCTCAGGTGGCTCGACCCTCTGCTTCTATCACAGGGTTTAGTCCCAGTTCTTTTATTTTTAAAAGATTAGTCTGTGTATTGTGCTAATCCCAGCACTTGGGAGGCAGAGGCAGGTGGATCTCTGTGAGTTCCACCTGGTCTACAAGAGACCAGCCTGGTCTACAGAGCTAGTTCCAGGACAGGCTCCAAAGCCACAGAGAAACCCTGTCTCGAAAAACCGAAAAAAAAAAAAAAAACCAAAAACAAAAAAACAAGTTTCACTCTGTATCCCAGAGTGGCTTTGAATTCGGGATCTTTTGAGTCCTGCATGTCAGCAGCACAGACACAGGCCACTATGCTGGCTAGTTTCAGTTTTTCTGTTTTTGTTCATGGTTTCTCTAATATGATAGCAGGTTTTAGGATACGATTCATGTATGTAGCTTGTCATGTAGTCCATGCCAATTACTGTACACTTGTATTGGAGAGACCTTGATGATGTAAAGGAGGAACAGAAATTATAATGCTTTTATCTCTCAACGGTGTGGCCTGTGTGCGCATGATATCCCTACTTTTCTTTCTTTCTTTTTTCTTTTTTCTTTTTTTTTTTTTTTTTTTTTTTTT